GTTAGCATGTGAGGCATCAATCAATTTCCCAAATTTTTTAACCCTTTGACTTTTTCGTGTCGCATACTCGTGCCCGTGCGTGTGTTTGTGTTTGTGTGCGTGATCGTGATCATTTCTAAAAAATTGTGAATATTTTAGCATCTTGTCCTATTAAAACTGAGTTTTCTTCTATTGATTGAATCACTTCCAACTTCTAGTTAAAATTTAATAAAACTTTTGATGTTGAGGATAAGCTGATATATCTCTCACATTATTATGGGTAAGCTGCAAATCTTGGCTTATTTGGTGCTAAAGTTTTGGAGTATGGAGATTTATTTTAGTGAAGATGGATGAGATGAGAATTGAGGAGAGTTTGCTAGAGAATATTGTTAGCAGCTTGGAAGGGAGATAGTCAAGTTGGAGACATGTAATTTGATTATTTGAAGAAGAGTGTGGAGACACATGAGAGGGTTGAATAGTATTTCTGATGACTGTTGTGGGTCCATGGGAGAATAGAGTGGTTTTGTAAGGTGTTATTGTCTGTTTCTCATGTTGAGTATGTTCATTCATTTTGTAGTACTTGAGAATACTTAATATAGTTAATTCGATTGCAAGGGAGGGTGTGAAGCAGCCTAAATATAGAGATTAGAATTACACTCTTTAGTGAATCAGGGTACAATTCACTGTCAAGGATGAGTGACAACATGATGTCACCTAGACAAAGTAAAAGGGGTCAGTAAAGCTAAGAGCATTTAGAATTTTAGATGGTTGGTTAGTTTCCATGTTGCAACTTAAGCTTTTAGATAGATTGATTACCCTAATGGCCTAATGTGATTAGTTGGAAGTTGGAACTAAGTCTTGCATATTACTTCCTCTTTTTTTGTATTTTATTTTTTTACTTGCAACATTTTCCTGTTCTGGAAATGTCATATTACTTGAAACCAAGCTATTTTTGGCAAGTTTTTATGGTGAAATTACAATATTACCCTTAGCTGATCCACTATTAGAATTTTAATAATGAACTCACTACCCAGTTAATTTTTTTAATCTTATAAAATATTAACCCAATTTCTCATAACACATTATCCCCCTCCCTTCTTCTAAACTACACAAATATTTTTCTCCACCACTAGTCCACTACCCCCTTCCAAAAACCCGATCTACCACCCTTCTCAAACAATAAAACCTTAGCCGCCGCCATCATTCCTCTCCCGTCACTTCTCTTGCTTCCCACTTTTCCCTCATCACTCGCCGGCATCCCTCCTCCAAAAGTAAAAGTAACAACTAGTATATTGGGTTAATCACGAGGTGTGACGGTTGAAGTAAATACTGAGAATTTGCAAAAGTTAATAAAGAGGACCACAATTCCTTTTACTTGCTCACTTATGCTCCTTGGTTGTGTGCCATTTCATTTGGTTGCAAGTAATAAAACAGAGGAAGTATTAGCATCCGTCTCTTACCATTTTACATTTTTATACCAATAGACCAGTATACCCCCCCTTTCTTTTATCTTAAGATCATTTCTTGTACATTATAAAGAACTTAGCAATTTTTTTTGTAGTTTCTCAACTAAAGTTTTTTTGGTACAATAAGCCTAAAAGGGTTTTACTGCTTCTAAGGCTCAACGGCTCAATACATCAGCATTTCTCCTTCAAGAAAGTTTGTAAGTCCAGATTACTTTATTGTAATTTGGTGGCATTTGTGTGGTAAAGCTTGAGTTTATTGATTTTTTGCTTTGCTTATGAGATTGAACATATAGCGAATAAATAACCATCATTGTATATGAAACAGATTAGAAGATCAGTATTGTTGTTAAAGAAGGGTTCAAGCATTGCATTCAAGACTTATTCTTAAGACTTTCTCCAAGATTTTTTAGATTTTCTCTTACAAAAATCTTGATTTCTGTTTATTTACAGTGGGAGACATGCTCATTTGCATTAGCTTCTTGTAGTTTCTGTAATTTCTGTAGTTCCATTAATAGTTTTTGATCTGTAGTATTACATGTTAATTAATTTAGAGTGCATTTACCTCAACTTATTTTGACTTGAAATCAAACAATGTAAGTTCAGATTTTGAACAAAATAATTTCCATTAAGTTTAGACATACTCACAAATTCATCAAATAAGTCTAAATAAGCTGAGGAAATGGTTGATTCAGTTACTTTTGATGTTTATGTAACCTACAATATTCCTATATAATCATTCTTGTTACCCATTGGCCTACTAGCTCAATTGGTTGAGCATTGTGTAAACACACAAAAGATGTGGGTTCAAATCCCACTAGGCCCTCCTGTTTCAGTAAATTGTCTGCATGTGTTGGTTCAAGTCTTGTGTAGAAACAACCCACCTCTGACCAAGTTTACTGGACATTTTATACTTTGTGCTAAACTTTTATACCTCTTTAACTTTTTTTTTTCTTTCTATACTGAACTTGTACTATGTTGCTTGCACTTCAGATTCAGCAAAGGATACTGCTATATATGTACTGTTCGTATTGTAAGACCTATTCTTACATAATTTTTTAATTAATGAAATTCTTTATTAGCCTTGTCTATTTTTTTGATTTGCATGCTTGGGTTGAGTAAACTTGGTCAGAGGTGGGATGTTTCTCTTTTGGTGCTAGCTTGATGATATTTAGTTATGGCTGAGAGTTGAGACTTGAGAGCTTGATTGTTGTAAATGAATGTCTCAACTTGTCGGGGGGCTAGAATTATTAGACTCGAGATATAAGGGAATAAGGGGTAGATGAATAGGAGATGATTTCGGTTATCCTTTCCGCTCTAGTATGTATTCTATGATTTCTATGTATTGCTATGTTTCTGTAACTTATGCATATATGATTTCTTTGTACTAGTACTTCTCCAGCCTACTAACTCAGTTGCTTAAATTAGCTTGCCAGCTTAATTATTTACAGTTTACCGTCGTTCTACCAAAATCAACCTACTAGCTCTTTGGTAGAGCATTTTGCAAATATGCAGAAGAAGTGGGTTCAAATCTTTCATGTAGGCTCTCTATTACGAGTATATTTGCAGGTTAAAATTGTTTGCAGACTGCGGAGAATGGCATTTGTGAAGATAATACGAATCTTGTTTCCCTGGAGGCTCTGCTATAGATATCGATTTACAAGTGTTTTTGTTGAAAGTAAACCAAGTATTATATCATGTTATTTAGCATATAGTTGGCAAGCTGTTTGTTGAGTTAGTGGTGCTGAAATTGGTTCTTTGACGCTGGTATCAATAGCAGTTGAGGATAAGAAGAAACGTAAAAGGCTATTCATTTGTTTGTTTTATCAATTTTTTGATTAATGTCATTCTTTTATCATGTAGCTATTGTATGGCTTGGTCGATACACTTGATTGTTACTTTGAAGTCATAAAATAAACCTATTTATATTTAGGAAAAATGGAAATAAATAATTTCACCTTTGCTCTTTCTTATAAAAATAATCCCATCTTCAATTTATTCCAAAATAATCTTATTTTTGTAAAAAAATCAATTTAGTATGAATAATTTTACTTCAACAAAAATAATTTTAGTTCGTAAAAAATATATATACAACATATACATCAAAAAAAAAATTGTGAACAGGACAGGGCCTATTCAGTAAATAATATTATTTTTTTAAAAATTTTTTTTACACAACTTTTTGAAATTTATGACCTTTGATTTCAAATTCACAAATTTTCAAGTTACAAATTCTTCATTTGTGAATTTTGAAAAAAAAAAAAAAGTAGTTATTCACCTTATTTTTACTAATTTGATCTTATATGCACCTTTATTTTCCTAATTTGATCTCATTTGAAGTTATATTTTTTTGCTGATTTGATTTATATTTGATTTTACAAAACTTTATACGCTATTTCATTAAGAAAAATATATCATACGCTATTTCATTAAGAAAAATATAATAAGTATGATCAAAACTTATTCCCGTAGGGGGGGTAGGGGGGATGAAATTTGTGCCTGATGAGAATCAAACCTCGCACCTCAAGGATGCGAGGCAGCCTCCAGGTCATTGCTCCAAAAAGTCTTTCTTAGATGTTGGGTTCATCTTATTTGTATATAATTAGAATGAAAAATCTCCACATGCATCCATTTAAAGCATCCACTTTGCCATTTGAGCCTTCAAATATTATATGTGAATAGATGCCTATTTTCATTTTTCATACATTATTAGTGCTAGAACATAACAGCATCAAACTTTCGAAAGTAGAGGGAATAGTTTAAAATCTATAGAACATATATAGATCAACAAGAGGTGATAAAAAATTCGAGTCGAGTTGAGCTTTAACATCAAATCTCACGCTTAACCTGCAAAAATATAGTGAAGTTGTCGGATCTAAAACGGGCTTTTCAGAGCCAAGTTTGAGTTTTTAACTAAAGAGTGTTTTTTGGTTTTCTTGTACCAACCTTTTTTTTTCTTGGCTAGGCCATAGTTGTTAACTTTTACGTTCAACTAAATTTACATAATTTCTCATCATTAATCGACTACAATGTCAAAATTGACCTAAACTAAATTTAACGTTAAAAAAAATTATATTATTTTAACTTTTACTCCTTCCGTTTTTTTATATGCATCACTTTCCTTTTATGGGTGTTTTTTTTTATATGCATCACTTCTATATTTGGTAAAGTTATACTATATTTTATTATTTCTCTCTCTTACTTTAAACCACATTCAAATTATTTTATCATTTCTCTCTCTTCTATGTCCCCACTTAAATAATAAAATATCTATTCTCTCTCACATACTTTCTCTTTCATGCCCCCATCATACTTTTATTATATTAATTTATTCACCCACTCACAATATTATATTTATCTCCTAAAATTATGTGCATTCCCAAGTGATGCATATTAAAAAAAAAACGGAGGGAGTATATAGCAATACTCAAATTTATAATAGACCCAATCTAACCTTGTCTCAACAAAAAACGACCCTAACACCTGAATTGACACCCGAGTGCACCATCTGGTCTGCGATAGGCCCTAGCTGTGGCCGACTTAAAAATATGGGCCATGACCAAATGGCGGTTTTCATTAAACGGACTATATCATTTATATAAATGCGGGTCTTCATTTTTCCTCCTTTGTTTTAATTTTTTTTTCTTTCACTATTTCGTTGCACTTCTCTCTTCTCTCGTTTTCTCGTACTCACTCTAGAGTTCTCCATTGAAGCAGCTTCTAAGCTTTCTACCCTCCACTGAAGCATCTACTGAGCTTTTCCTCCTCCATTGAAGCATCTTCTTCTTAGGTAAGTTGTGTTTCTTAATTATCTTATATCAATTTCTCAATCTAGGTCTTCTATTTCTATTTTTTTGACAGTTCACATCTAGGGTTTAATTTCTCATTATAGTTGATTTAAATGTTAGTGTTTTCAATTTAGGGTTATTTTAAGGTGGATTATTGAACTATTGATTATAATAACGATCAAATTTGTTGATAGAATAATGCTGTGTGCACCTTTATTTTGATTTTTTAAGGAAGAAGATTTTTTTTTTTTTTTTTATTTATTTATTTATTTATTTTGTGATTTTTCGAGGTAAAATTTGATGATTGAATTAAATTTGTTTGCTAATGTTGCTGTATTTCGATTATGAACTGTAATTGTTTGGATGATTGCCCTAGGTTTATATAAACCCTAAGAAAGAACTTAGAGATAGTTGTTTTTTAATTTTTTAAAATTTTCTTGTTTGTAGAAAGATGTCGAATCTGGGAGGTGGTGCGGAGGCACACGCACGTTTTAAGCAGTATGAATACAGAGCGAATTCGAGTCTAGTGCTCACGACAGATTCACGCCCGAGGGATACCCATGAGCCTACTGGTGAGCCGGAGTCCTTATATGGTAAAATTGACCCGAAATCGTTTGGAGATAGGGTTGCTAAAGGAAGGCCTCAGGAGCTTGAAGAGAAGAAGAAGAAATCTTCAAAAAAGAAGGAAAGGGACCCAAATGCGGAGCCAGGGCCTGCTCGGCAGAGCAAGAAACGCCGTATTCAGGAGGAAAGTGTTCTGAATGTTACTGAAGAAGGGGTTTATCAGCCAAAAACTAAAGAAACTCGGGCTGCTTATGAGGCTATGCTGAGTATTATCCAGCAGCAGCTGGGAGGGCTACCATTTAATATTGTCAGTGGTGCTGCTGATGAGATTTTGGCTGTATTAAAGAATGATGCTATTAAGTACCCGGAAAAGAAGATGGAGATTGAGAAGTTGCTGACTTCTATGCCTGCTACTGTTTTTGATAGCCTGGTTAATGCTGGGAAGATGATTACTGACTATCAAGAAGGTGGTGATGATGTCCCGACTGCCAATGGGGATGGTCTCGATAACGAAGTGGGTGTTGCGGTGGAGTTTGAAGAGAATGATGATGATGACGATGAGAGCGATTTTGGCTCGGTGCAGGATGATGAAGAGGATGATGAAGATATTGCTGAAGCAGGTTCAGCTGGGGGTATGCAAATGGGTGGTGGGATCGGTGATGAAGATATGCCTGATGCGGATGAGGGTATGAACCTAAATGTTCAGGATATTGATGCGTATTGGCTTCAGAGGAAGATTTCTCAAGCCTATGATCAGCAAATTGATCCACAACAGTGCCAAAATCTTGCTGAAGAAGCTCTAGCCTTACTTGCTGAAGGGGAGGATAGGGAGATTGAGAATACACTTTTGACTCGCCTTGACTACGATAGGTTCAACCTTGTCAGGTTCCTTGTGCGTAATAGGCGGAAGATTGTGTGGTGTACCCGCCTAGCCCGAGCTGAAGATCAAGAGGAGCGAAAAAGGATTGAAGAAGAAATGCTGGAATCTGGTGCAGATTTGGCTGCCATCCTGGAGCAGTTGCATGCTACCAGAGCCACTGCCAAGGAGAGGCAGAAGAATCTGGAGAAGAGTATAAGAGAGGAGGCTCGTCGTTTGAAAGATGAGAGTGCTGTTGATGGGGACCGTGGTCGTAGAGGATTGACTGATAGAGATGTTGATAATGGTTGGTTGAATGGGCAGCGGCAGGTACTTGATCTGGAAAACCTCGCTTTCAACCAAGGTGGTCGTTTCATGGCAAATAAGAAGACTATACTTCCAGATGGCTCTTATCGCCATCCGGCTAAAGGATATGAAGAGGTTCATATTCCTGCTTTGAAACCCAAGCCATTAGAAAAAGGTGAAGAACTCGTGAAGATATCTGGAATGCCAGATTGGGCACAACCAGCTTTCGAAGGGATGACACAATTGAATAGGGTGCAGAGTAGAGTTTACCAAACTGCACTCTTTTCAGCTGAAAACGTTCTTCTTTGTGCTCCGACTGGGGCGGGGAAGACTAATGTTGCTGTCCTCACCATATTGCAGCAGATTGCTTTGAGTAGAGCACCAGATGAATCATTTGACCACAGCAGTTATAAGATAGTATATGTTGCTCCAATGAAAGCTCTCGTGGCTGAAGTGGTCGGTAACTTGTCAAACCGGTTGAAGCACTATGGTGTGAATGTGAAGGAATTGAGTGGTGATCAGACATTGACCAAGCAACAGATAGATGAAACGCAGATAATTGTTACAACTCCAGAGAAGTGGGATATCATAACAAGGAAGTCAGGTGATCGAACATACACTCAGCTTGTCAAACTTCTCATAATTGATGAGATTCATCTGCTCCATGACAACAGAGGCCCTGTGCTGGAAAGTATAGTTGCCAGGACAGTTAGGCAAATTGAAACAACAAAAGATAATATTAGACTAGTTGGGTTATCAGCCACCCTTCCTAACTATGAGGATGTGGCATTATTCTTGAGGGTTGATGTAGAAAAGGGGCTATTCCACTTTGACAACAGCTATAGACCTTGCCCGCTTGCACAACAATATATTGGAATCAATGTGAAGAAGCCACTACAGAGATTCCAGTTGATGAATGACATTTGCTATGATAAGGTGATGGCTGTGGCCGGAAAGCACCAAGTTCTTGTTTTTGTTCACTCTAGAAAAGAGACGGCAAAGACTGCCCGTGCAATAAGGGATACAGCATTGGCAAAGGACACCCTTGGTAAATTTTTGAAAGAGGATAGTGCAAGTCGTGAAATTCTTCATGCACATACCGATTTAGTTAGAAGTAATGACCTCAAGGATCTTTTACCTTACGGCTTTGCAATTCATAATGCTGGGATGAATAGGGCTGATCGCCAGCTTGTGGAAGATTTGTTTGCTGATGGTCACGTGCAAGTCCTAGTTTCTACAGCCACCCTTGCTTGGGGTGTCAATTTGCCTGCACACACAGTGATTATAAAGGGAACCCAGATCTATAATCCTGAAAAGGGAGCTTGGACAGAATTGAGTCCTCTGGATGTAATGCAGATGCTTGGGCGTGCAGGTAGACCCCAGTATGATACTTATGGAGAGGGAATAATCATCACTGGTCATACTGAATTGCAATTCTATCTTTCTTTGATGAATCAACAGCTTCCTATTGAAAGTCAGTTTATTTCAAGGTTGGCTGATCAGTTGAATGCTGAAATTGTTCTTGGTACTGTACAAAATGCTCGAGAAGCCCTCAATTGGATAGGTTACACATACCTGTACATTCGGATGTTACGTAACCCTACACTTTATGGCTTAGCTCCTGATGTGCTCGACAGGGACCTTACACTGGAAGAGAGGAGAGCTGACCTGGTAAGCCTTTATTCATATACATCACTGCTCTAAATTCCTGTTTTCATGATTTCTTTAAATCATTGTATTCCTGATACATTGATCTATGCTGATAGAATAGTATATTTCAAACTAGTAGAGATAAAATCTTTTATTTGTAGGATTTTGTAGGTTTCTTTTCTTTTTTTCTTTTTTCTGTTTTTAATTCAGTTTGTGGTTCAGAATGCTTGATTATGAAGTAGTAAAAGTTCGAATATGTGTCCACTAACTTTCTTGTGCTCTGGATAATTGAAATTCGACCAAACCCTCTGCTCCGTATGTATTTAGTTTCAGTAGTCTGTTGATTGAAAGGTGTCAAATTATGTGAAGGTTAAAATTTGTGTAAATGAACTTTATAGCACTTTTAAAAATTGATCAAACCTCTTGTTCTTTATGTTTTCAGTTCCTTCTGTAGGCTGTTTATTGAAGGAATATATTTAATGATTTTTTTTTTTAATTTAATTTAATTTAATTTTATTTTATTTTTTTGGAAGGGGGATGGGTGTTGTCAGCAGTGGGGGGAGTTGGGAAGATGGAACTGAAAACTTTCCTGATGCTTTAAATAATCTTCAAAGTTTTAATTTCTCTGGTTATAACTGAATAGTTGAATTTGTATTTTGGCACATTTGTATCAAACTGTTTTTTTACACTACTCCTACATTTATCTTTGTTGGTAAATGTAGCTCTACCTACATGAGCCATGAGAAGCACCAACAAGAATCTGTCCAATTTGGTACCAAATCCACAGCAACTACTTGTATTGGCTATTGACCCAACCACATTCAATTGTTTGATGAATACCATTTATCAAGTCTATAAAAGGGCCATAATGAATATTTGAGTATAGTGTTGAATTAAAGTTGACTAAATGTATTTCTAAATCATTTTTATCAAAAGTATTAAAATTTAAGAACACTCTAATATCCTGGCTTTACTTGTTCCTTGGTTTTGAAGTGAATTTGGCAGCTTTAATTTTGTTCAGTGTACTAGAACACTAACTACTTGATGGTGTAAGTTGTTTGCGCTGGTGAGCACATCTTTTATTAGATGTTGCTTATATTTATTTTTCATGATGCTGGTATGAGGATGGTGGGTGTGGTTTCTTCAAGAACTCCCAGGAGGCTACCTTTAAAGAACTTTCTATTGGAGTATTTAAACATTGATGAGTGCCGTTTACTGTTTACATTCATGATTTTGATGTCATTATGCATTCCAAAGCCTTTTATAGCTATAGACCTAAAGTCGTTTTTGTTAATTTTACAGATCCATTCAGCAGCAACTGTTTTGGACAAAAATAACTTGATTAAATATGATCGGAAAAGTGGTTACTTCCAGGTCACTGACTTGGGAAGGATTGCCAGTTTTTATTACATTACACATGGCACAATATCCACTTACAATGAGCACTTAAAACCGACTATGGGTGATATTGAGCTTTGTCGGTTATTCTCCCTCAGTGAGGAATTTAAATACGTTACAGTGAGGCAAGATGAGAAGGTTGAACTGGCCAAGCTTTTGGAACGTGTTCCAATTCCCATTAAAGAGAGCTTGGAAGAGCCCAGCGCTAAGATTAATGTTTTACTTCAAGCATATATTTCTCAGTTGAAACTTGAAGGCTTGTCTCTAACATCAGACATGGTTTATATAACACAGGTATGCTGCTTTTTCACATAAGTAAACAATATTTAATGTCTGTACTCTAGACGTGCTTTTTTGCTTACCTTTTTTTTTCGGAAAATTTATGTAGAGTGCGGCACGTCTTATGAGAGCTCTTTTTGAGATAGTTTTGAAAAGAGGATGGGCTCAGTTGGCAGAAAAGGCGCTAAATTTGTGCAAAATGGTTCAGAAGAGGATGTGGAACGTGCAGACACCACTCCGTCAGTTTACTGGAATACCTAGCGAAATTTTGATGAAGTTGGAGAAGAAGGAACTGGCTTGGGATAGGTACTATGACCTTTCCTCTCAAGAACTGGGAGAGCTCATAAGACAACAGAAGATGGGAAGGACTCTTCACAAGTTCATTCACCAGTTTCCAAAGCTCAACCTTGCTGCACATGTGCAGCCAATTACTCGCTCTGTTTTAGGAGTGGAACTGACAATCACACCTGATTTCATGTGGGATGACAAGATTCATGGATATGTGGAGCCTTTTTGGGTTATTGTGGAGGATAATGATGGTGAATACATTCTTCATCATGAATACTTCATGCTGAAGAAGCAATATATTGATGAGGACCATACCCTGAATTTCACTGTGCCAATATCAGAGCCTCTGCCCCCACAATATTTCATTCATGTTGTTTCTGATAGATGGTTGGGATCACAGTCTGTTTTGCCTGTTTCTTTTAGGCATCTTATTTTGCCTGAGAAATATCCTCCCCCAACAGAATTGTTGGACTTACAACCACTGCCTGTGACTGCATTGAGAAACCCATCATATGAAGCCCTTTATCCAGAATTTAGGCACTTCAACCCTGTCCAGACTCAGGTTTTCACGGTTCTGTACAATGCAGATGACAATGTTTTGGTTGCTGCGCCAACTGGTAGTGGAAAGACAATATGTGCTGAGTTTGCTATCTTGCGAAACCACCAAAAAGGTCCTGACAGCACCATGCGTGTTGTCTATATAGCACCTATGGAAGCTCTGGCCAAGGAGCGTTACCGTGATTGGGAAAGGAAATTTGGAAAAGGACTTGGTTTGCGAGTCGTTGAACTCACGGGAGAGACAGCAACTGACTTGAAGCTACTTGAGAAAGGGCAGATAATTATAAGTACTCCTGAAAAATGGGATGCTTTATCTCGACGCTGGAAACAAAGAAAGTATGTTCAGCAAGTCAGCCTGTTCATCATTGATGAGCTCCATCTTATTGGTGGTCAAGGCGGTCCTGTGTTGGAAGTGATTGTCTCAAGGATGAGATATATAGCAAGTCAAGTGGAGAACAAGATTCGCATTGTTGCTTTATCAACCTCTCTTGCTAATGCTAAGGACCTTGGTGAGTGGATAGGTGCTTCTTCACATGGTCTTTTCAACTTTCCACCAGGGGTTCGTCCTGTACCTCTTGAGATTCACATTCAGGGAGTAGATATTGCTAATTTTGAGGCAAGAATGCAAGCTATGACCAAGCCAACCTACACAGCTATATCTGTCCATGCTAAGAATGGGAAACCTGCTATTGTATATGTTCCAACTCGGAAGCATGCTTCACTTACTGCAGTTGACCTTGTAACATATGCTAGTGCTGACAGTGGAGAGAAGCCAATATTTTTGCTGCATTCATCGGAGGAGCTGCAGCCTTTTACTGATAAAATTAAGGATCTAAATCTGAAGACCACTCTTGGCTATGGTGTGGGCTTTTTGCATGAAGGATTAGTTAGCACTGATAAGGAGATTGTATCACAGTTATTGGAAGCTGGATGGATCCAAGTTTGTGTTATGACCAGTTCAATGTGCTGGGGAATGCCTTTGTTGGCTCACTTAGTGGTGGTCATGGGAACTCAGTACTATGATGGGAGGGAAAATGCTCATACTGATTATCCAGTAACTGATCTGCTCCAGATGATGGGTCATGCTAGTCGGCCTTTGTTGGATAAGTCTGGGAAGTGTGTTATCCTCTGTCATGCTCCACGAAAGGAATATTATAAAAAGTTCTTATATGAAGCATTCCCTGTAGAAAGTCATTTGCACCACTATCTTCATGACAATCTGAATGCAGAAATTGTAGTCGGAGTAATCGAGAATAAGCAAGATGCTGTGGATTATCTCACATGGACATTTATGTACAGAAGGCTTGCTCAGAATCCTAATTACTACAATCTTCAGGGTGTGAGCCATAGGCATTTATCAGATTACCTCTCAGAACTTGTGGAGAACACTTTGAGTGATCTGGAAGCAAGTAAATGTGTTGCTATTGAAGATGATATGGATCTCTCTCCTCTGAATCTGGGCATGATAGCATCATATTACTACATCAGCTACACCACAATCGAGCGTTTTAGTTCTTCGTTGACATCCAAAACAAAGCTGAAGGGTCTTCTTGAGATTCTGGCTTCAGCTTCAGAGTATTCGCAATTGCCAGTACGTCCGGGGAGGATGACTTGATTCGCAAGATGATACATCACCAAAGATTCTCTTTTGAGAATCCAAAGTACACAGATCCACATGTAAAAGCAAATGCTTTGCTGCAGGCCCACTTTTCTAGACATCCAGTTGGTGGTAATTTGGCTGCTGACCAGCGTGAAGTGCTCCTTTCAGCTAGTAGATTGCTTCAGGCTATGGTTGATGTTATTTCTAGCAATGGTTGGCTAAATCTTGCTCTTCTTGCTATGGAAGTAAGCCAGATGGTGACTCAGGGTATGTGGGAGCGAGATTCCATGCTATTGCAGCTTCCACATTTCACCAAGGAGTTGGCCAAGAGATGTCAAGAGAACCCAGGGAAGTCTATTGAGACTGTGTTTGACCTGGTGGAAATGGAGGATGATGAGAGGCAGGAGCTTCTCCAGATGTCTGACTCACAGTTGCTGGATATTGCCCGTTTCTGTAATCGTTTCCCCAACATTGATATGACTTATGAGGTGGCTGATAGTGACAGCATTGGTGCTGGGGAAGATGTCACAATGTCGGTTACCCTTGAACGAGATCTTGAAGGGAGGTCAGAAGTGGGACCTGTTGATGCTCTTAGATATCCCAAAGCTAAAGAAGAAGGTTGGTGGTTGGTGGTGGGTGACACAAAGACTAACCAACTGCTAGCTATTAAGAGGGTCGCTTTACAACGGAAATCAAAAGTCAAGCTTGATTTCGTTGCACCTCCTGAAGTTGGGAAGAAGACTTACACTTTGTATTACATGTGTGATTCTTACTTGGGATGTGATCAGGAGTACAACTTTACCATTGATGTCAAAGAGGCAGGAGCAGCTGAAGATGACAGTTGAAAGGAATGATGCGATTCCCTTTAATGGATGCTTGACCAACAATGCGGACTGATCCTGTTAATATTAGGTTAGCCTGCTTCATGTTTAGAACCACTGCTTAGTATGTCTCTTTTTGAATACTTGTTGGCTTTCAAAGATTATGCTTATATTATTACTGTCTGAAGTATGCTTTTGCTCATGGCTTTGTCTCGGAAATTTCTGGTTGTATTTACAGGGGATTTGTCACTGTTGCTGCATTTTAAGTTTAAGATGCAGCTGCTGTTGGCTGTTGCAGTTATTGCTGGCTTAATTGGTGCATTTCAATTCTAAGATATGGCTGTGCTCAAAAGCTTATGTCAGTGGACGTGTTTGGGGTTTATTAACAGTGCTGCTGTAATTTTGCCCCTCCAAAACTTGGTAAACACTACTTTTTTGTTCTTTTGCTTTCTTTGTTTTTCTGTTTTATTTTTCCTAATCTCTTCATATATATTTAATTTGGGTAAGTAAGAAATGTGCACCCTAAAGTTATACAGCTTATACTCGTATGTGGTTTCTGCTATGCCTCAGTCACGTTGAAAGAAGTATATGTGTTTTGCTCCAGCATTAATGTAGCAAGTATAACAAAACTATTACTCCTTTTTTTCATTGTGGAATGCGGCAGCTGTGGCTGATATGCTGCTTTAACTAGAAAGCTTCATGCTTTTTGGTCCGACAGGAGCCACCCCTTATTGATTTTCGATAGTGAAATCGCCAAGCGACCACCATGGCTTTGGGGTTATCATACTGAGGTTATAAGTAGGCGGTCTATTTGATGAAATTTTCTCAGTCGAAAACCATGTAAAGAGGCTTCAAACATGAGAAATAGCCCCCCATAAACGAGCATAGCCTGCGATTCTAGCAGTTGGAACGTAAGCATATTGCAATATATAAAGTGCCATTGAATCATGTGAAAGTGTACGTAATTCTAGATTTTTTTAAAGGTTAATATGTCATTCTTACTACTTGCTTCTATGATTAGAGCCTTTATATTACTTGGCTTGCATATCCTTATCATTGCTGTGGTGTGAAATTGTGAATTGAGTCTTGTGTTGTCATGAACTTCGTATGAAACATTCTACTCGGATCAACAAGAGAAATTATAACAACCGAGAGCGGCAACAATCACTCAACAACCCCAATTTCTTAATATACTTCTTCCAGTATACTTTGTATGGAATAAGCACAATCTAGCTAGTGATCAAGTTCTTGGTGACAGAACGGAGTAATAGTCGCATTGTCCCAACAATTCAAGACCTCGTATCCAAGCATATGGCACAAATTTTTTTTTTCAATCTTATGGATTATTGGTTATCAACGATCCAACTAAGAGGAAGGCGTAGAGCCAAAAGTGACCTCGGAAACCAATATTGTTTGAAGAAGTGCATCACTTGTTCATTTGTATAAGTATTAACAATTAGTGTCAATTATAAATCATAGATTGCGACTCGTGTAGTCGTGTAGATGCCATTGCATATTGCTATCAGTCGATTATAAATTGTAATTTATAAGGGGTATTGTTATAGTTGAAGTGTATCTCACGATCTATGTAAACGAATAAAATGTCATCATTGTTACAACATTTTTGTTTCTATGAATTAGCTAAGAATTAATTAACTTGTTTATCAACATCATTATGGCCTGGGTGGATTGAGTCTAGGTTATCCTATCTTAAAACATTCATTCAACATCTAAATATTTGATGAAGAAAATAGTCGATACTTGACATTTGAGAGTGAAAAAAATTGCTAAATTGTGCTTAAATCGCGATTATGGAGCAATTTTGGCCATCCATAAAAAATACTCCCTCTAATTGTTTTTTTTTTTTTTCATGTTGGATGCTCCCTGTTATAGGTTATATTTGAAATTTTTTCATTCTACATCAAAAAAATTTAGATAAATTTATACTAAAGATAGTAAAACACACACACACACACACATATATATATATATATATATATATATATATATATATATATATATATATATGTATATATATAATGTGTAAAATTAAAATTATTATTTTTTATTTTTTGTTCATTCCTTGGAACTGCAACTATCATGACATTTTAAACATAAATTACAAATGGGGGTAGGGGGATTAGAACTGTGACAATATTTAACACATGCCCTCACCTTTAATGCCCTTAACCAATAAGGGTCTTATGTCTTCAGATTATTTTCAGTTCAGTTTAATTCTTAATTTTCTTTTCTCATAAAATATTCAGTTCAGTTCATTTCAGCTCAGTTCAGTCAATCGGAACAGGCTCTAAGTCAAAACCTCATCGGTATCATTGCTTAACCTACTTGCAATTTAATTAATACTATGTACTCGTTTAGCAAATAAAAGGACGGATGAATTACTAAATATGTAGAAAGGAATGAGCATTTCAATGTATATGTGACATTACACATAAGTAAGTAATTAGAAATCAGTTTGAATGTTCCTCAAAAAACAAACAAAAAAATAAAAAGAAAGAAAAAAGGAAATCAGTTTGAATGTATCAAAAGAATCTAACTAATACATCTAGTATTATTAAATTTCAGAGAATTTAGTATAAATAGGGACAGCAGAAAGAGAGGAAAACCCACCAAAAGTTCATCAATACTAGCTACATAAGTGTTGAAATGTTGACAATGTGTTTGTTTTTGTTTGGATTTGTATTTCAATTCGTAAATGGTTGTAATATGAAGTATTGCTTCATCTCTATGTATGGTTTGGTCTAAGCTAGCAAAACTGAAGCTAGTGATGGATGTATGCTTGCTATTTATAATAAAAGTTCATATTTCTTCCTTTACATGCATATTGAGGGTGGATTGCTCACTTTGAGGTTGTTTTTTCCCGCCATATTATGTATCAAGAAATCAATTGAGCAACAGATTATGTTAAAGCATTATACCATCCAACCAAAAATTATCTAAAAATTAAATTTGACATAGATGATAAATTTTCTTATTTATTTTCTTAAATTAGGATACAATATTGAAAGATGATTTATTTTACTTTTGTATTTCTCCTTTCTTAAAATATATATTGAGGGTGGTGTTAGATTACGTAACCCTAACATATGCTTGTATATGATGACGTTTAAATTTATGAGAAAGGGACAGCAAATATTCTCACAAATTACACTTATTTTTTGAACTAAATGTTCAAAAATACCAAAAGCTGATATGAAATTTTTGAGTTGGATATCCGATTAAAAAAATTATTATCGAATCAGATGGGGATTGGATCTTCGGATATTCAAATCTTCGAGTAGTTTTTCTCAGCCCTTATGCTCGCCATTGAACATACCTACCTTCCATGCAATCCATAGATAAATTACAACATAAAATTACAAAACTTAATCTAACATCATCCAAATAATTGAAGCATATATATATTCTCTTATCATCAAGGGTAAATCATCCAAATAATTAGCATCTCTTCAAATCATAATATTAATACTATATGTAATGCAAATATCACTAATATAAGCTATATAATCATGAATTAGCATCACTAATAGTAGCTATTTAAATGCTACGTTCGCTCATAGAGTATTGTCATACGCATCACATAATACGCAGTAAAAACTTTCACAATAACTAAAGTTGAAGACTTGCAACTTAATAGCATACAATCTAGATTTTAAAAACAGTAGTCCAACAAGAACTGAAACCTTGGCCCTTGAAAATTCTTTGCAAAATCAGTTATCAGATTTTACAAAAATTATCGAGATAAATACTACCTCTGTTTCATATTAAAGTGCAGGACTAAACCATAACGGACAACAATAGGAAGAGCGTGTAAGACCATTATTAATTTGGACATCAAAAGGTTTAAAGACTTTATCCTTGATTTGAAAGATACCCATATCATGTCCTCCAGGTTTATCTGGCGTCCATGTATAAAAACTTATGTTATCATCGGTGAAGTATATGCAATTGGGTTGACAATCTGAATGAGCTATAGAAACCGACATATATAGGGCCTGTTTCGATTGACTGAACTCAGCTGAACTGAACTGAACTGAACTTAACTTATTAATTAGTGATTTTTAACTACAGATTAGTGATCTTTGATTATTTATTACTATACATATGTGTATATACAAATGTACATATTAATAATAATAATAATAATAATAATAATAATAATATTAATAATAACAATAATAATAATAATAATATTATTATTATTAATTATTGATGATTATAATTATTATTATTTATTGATTATTATTATTATTATTATTATTATAATTATTACTATTACTATTATTATTATTATTGTTATTATTATTATTATTATTATTATTATTATTTATTGATGATTATTATTATTATTTATTGATTATTATTATTATTATTATTATTATTTCAATTATTATTGTTATTAATATTATTATTATTATTATTATTATTATTATTATTATTATTATTGTTGTTGTTGTTGTTGTTATTATTAATATTATTATTATTATTATTTATTGATGATTATTATTATTATTTATTGATTATTATTATTATTATTATTATTATTTTAATTATTATTGTTATTATTATCATTATTTATTGATGATTATTATTATTATTTATTACTTATTGATTATTATTATTATTATTATTGTTGTTGTTGTTAATATTAATATTAATATTATTATTATTATTATTATTATTATTATTATTATTATTATTATTATTATTATTATTATTATTATTATTATTATTATTATTATTATTGTGTTGTTGTTGTTGTAGTAGTAGTAGTAGTAGTAGTAATAAGATCTTAAAAGAATGAAATTTGGCTTTATATCATTAGCAATATCATTAGACGTAAATTAAGAGCTGAACTGAATTGAACTGAACTGAATTGAATTTCAACGGCAGAGAACGGGCCCATAGTTGTGTTGTTTCCTACAAAAAGTGAAACATCTTCCAAATCTTCCAACTCCTCCCATCGGTTGGCACCAAAGTGAAATTTGTAGACCCTAAATAACACCGTATTATAATTACCAATACTATTGTCTTGATCAGAGTCATAATTAAAGTCGGGTACTAGTACTTCCAACTCAAGAAACCTCAAAACCATGAGAAGATCCTAACCAGAATTAACAAGATATATATTGATCACCAAAATTAGTCCAATATTGTTGTAGGAACTCGAGTTTAGAGTTATACCAAGTTACCTTGGGTTGTTGTTGTTGATCAAGGTGATATTCTGCAAGATCACCATAGGCATTTACAAACAAAAGTCTACCTTGTCCATCAACAACACGATATAAAACATCACAAGAGTGTGCATCTCGGCTTCAACAAATTGAAGAATTTCCAATCGCAACGTTCGTATTACTGCCGTTACGATTGCGGGAGGGTGTTAGAGATATGAGATATCGGAAAATATTGTGGGATATATTTTCCGTAGATATCATTCAGAGAATAATATATTTAGTGTTATCTTATGTTAAGATATTATTTAGAGAATATATCATTAGGATATATCTTTTAGGAATATTGTTTCCTATCTTATGTTTGTAGGTTTTGTATAAATATTCTACCTATTGATGAATAAATTAGGGAGAAGAAAAAGAATAGAATAGCTTGTTTATTATTCATCAATAGGTAGAGTATTTATACAAAACCTACAAACATAAGATAGGAAACAATATTCCTAAAAGATATATCCTAATGATATATTCTCTAAATTAGGGGTGTACACCGGTCCAAAACCGGACCGGACCTGGACCGGACCTGTTTGGACCGGGGACCTGAATTGGGTAATTATGAGGACCGGGGACCGGACCTGAATTAACAGGTCCGGTTCCGGGCCAGACCTGAAAAATCAGGTCCGGTCCGGGTTTGGACCTGAATGGACCTGTTTTGTGTCTTTTTCGTTTTTTTTTTTTTTTTTTAATACAAAACCTGTTGGACCTGCATATGGACCTGTTTTGTGATTTTTAGACCTGTTGCATAATTTAATAATTACATACAAACCAAAATTATCAATTACAAAACTACATAAAGT